GAGTGCCAGGAGAGACGAGAAAGAGGCAGGCAACTCCATGTTGGTAGGTGGCAGGTTTAATTGCCAGTTTTTTTGTTGTTGTTTTGTTTTTTTGTTTTTGCTTTTGATTTAAAAAAATATATATATTTTATTGATTTTTTTACTGATTTTACAGAGAGGAAGAGAGAGGGATAGAGAGTTAGAAACATCAATGAGAGAGAAACATCGATCAGCTGCCTCTTGCACACCCCCTACTGAGGATGTGCCCGCGGTACATGCCCCTGACCATAATAGAACCCGGGTCCTTTCAGTCCGCAGGCCAACGCTCTATCCACTGAGCCAAACTGGTTTTGGCTGCTTTTGATTTTTTACAGAGAGGAAGAGTGAGGGATAGAGAGTTAAAAACATCGATGAGAGAGAATCATTGATCAGCTGCTTTCTGCACACCTCCTACTGGAGATGTGCCTGCAACCAAGGCACATGGCCTTGTCTGGAATCTAACCTGGGATCTTTCAGTCCACAGGGCAATGCTCTATCCAGTGTTGCCAGGTTTAAGCCCCAGTTCAGGTCGCCATTAATGCCTGGATTCTTGTCCCAGCATTACGAAGGATTCAGCAATTTGGAGAAAGGCTGTGGGTAGACTTAATAAGGAGTCCAAAGAGGAAAGATAGTTTTGAAAAGCAATGGGGTCAAAGGAGCTTCAGCTAAAGGAGCAAAAAACTTCCCTTGTCCCAGGACCCCAGTGCTTTTAATTAACACAATTTGTCCTAAGGCAAGGTGGAGATATACACTTCAAAAGGTATGGTTTACAGAAGCATTGTCAGATTGGGAAATAACCTACAGCTGTTCAGGTGTTTGGCCAAGAGGAGACAATAACATGTAGATTAAGATGCCCTGAGCTGTCTGGCAGCAAATGATTATCCTATTCAAGTTTGGGGGAGATGCTTTTTAGCCAATTCAACATATGTGGGCTCAGCCCTTGTTGAGCCCCTAAGTCTCATCAATTTTTTGATGAAACTCTTATAATTATGACATGCTGGAATTGATTCCTGGCATTTAATAAGCAAGGAATTTACATAGCAGCTTTTTCTTGGGTGGGCACAAGATGAGGTGATCTCCACACCTACCTGCCAGAACCTTAAAAGCTTGCGTAGAAGCCTTCACTGGATTTCGTCACAAATACCGTCCAGAGGGTCATAGTTCTCTACAGGCTGTATTCTTGACTGTGGTTTTTACTGTGGAAACTGTGCAGAATGTATATTCTGCTAGTAAAGACAGAGGAGGAGCAAGGAGCCTTTGAAATCTGGGTCCAGCTGGAGAGCCGATGGGGGTTACATCCTTTCAATGATCTCCTCCAATACTCGAGGGCCTAGCTGGAAAAAACTATGTAGAAGCTTATTCCCCTAGGTAAATGGGCCATCACCATTAGAAAATTTGGGGAGGAAAGTTAAGATAGAGAGTTAAAATGAATAATTAGTGAATGATTCCCCTTTTAATATTCTAATTCTCACGGTTAAATACTATTTTATGCAGTTTATAAGTGTTTTGATTAGTGGTATTTAAGAGATTTTCCTAAGACGTAAAGTATAATAAAGTCAAAATAACTTTTTAAAAAGATACTTTTGAATTTATTAATAAACAAATTCATTGAAGCAAGGAAGAACTTGATTTGCAAAACCATATCATGGAAGGCATAAATGAAAGCAATTTTGTAAATTTGCTTAATTGTTCTGTCCTGCTGTGGACATTAGCCAGTATTAGGCCTTTTAAGCACTAACATGAACTCTTCCAATTGAATCTAATTCAAAAGAAGATACCTCTAGGAATTTAACAATCCTTTTCGTTCCTTTGAAAATCTACCTGTGTAGCTCAAGGGAAATCTATTGGGTTGCCTCTCAATGAGTCCATTTCTCCAAAAGCCTTTAACACAATGATCCAGAGAAGCTACTTGTACCAAAAGACATTTAAACTGAAAAAAAAACAGCCACTTCCCTTGTCCAATCCCAGTTGATGACCACTGGGGCCCTGGAAGCCACGCCTCAGCCTCCCAGTGTGTCAGTCACGCCTGGGGAAACTTTACTGTGAATGTTCTATTTTGAGCTCATTCTGTTTTTTGGTTTTGGTTTTTTTTTCCCCCCACTCACCTCCGATAATGTTTGTAAATTATAATAGGGAAAGCTACATTTTAAGTTAGATAGACTGATTTTTTTTTTGCCATGCAATCTCTGATAGCTTCTGGAATCGAGACAGGAATTTACCAGAAGGAAGCATGACTGAGACAGTGCCTCTTACTTCCAGGCGCCTGTGTTTTCTAAGGGTGCTTGACTAGATTAATTTTAGAAGAAGCATGGTTGCTTCAGTCCAAGGATTAAAAACAGTGAACCGTATTTGTTTTTATAATATTTATCACGTGTCTGACTCATCAAAGAATTTCAATAACATTTTCTTCAGTGGACCTAGGTTCAATTCCCAGCTGTGTCACTAGACCTGGGCCAGCCATTTAAGGTCCCCGAGGCTCATTTTCTCCATTTTGTAAAATGGTTATAAAAACATTGCTTGTGCTCCATTTGAGGAAAAACAGGCTAATGTTAATAAACATATTAACATTATAAAAACAGGCTAATGTTAATATATAAAAACAGGCTAATGTTAATAAATATATTTTTAAGCTGTGGCTTTGTGTGAAAAACAGTTATTACTGTGTATACGTACTAAATGTGTTAATAGGTAACTATATTTTATTATTGAGGTTATGAATAGAGGTTAAAAGAGGTTGCTGGAATACCCAATTTGAGTCCCAATAGGGATATTGGTGCTTTTTACCTGAGTTAAATTTCTTCATCGTACTTGTCCTATATAATAAAGATGTAATATGCAAGGTCTTTATACTGTGAAGCATAATGACCAACTGTGTAACTACCGGATCACGGATCAGCAGGAGGGTGGGGCAGCAAGCTACAAGCAGGTGGTGGAGAGCTAAAGGAGGGGGCAGGGCAGCAAGCTATTGGGGAGGGGGGCCAGGGGGATGGGGACGGAGGTAGGGGAGAGCTACAGGAGGGCAGGGCAGCAAGCAGAGAGCTACTGGCATACGAATTTGTGTGCAGGGCTGCTAGTATCATATATATTTTTGTTTGTTTTAAAATATTTTTCTAATGAACTAATAATATTTACTAAAATAGACAGCTTTCCTGTCATGGAAAAACTGAACCCACTTAAAACAACATCTGGCACCCAGTGGACACTCAGATATTTAAAAAAATAAATTAATGCCACCACATGGCAGAGAACCAGTCACTCTGGCACTGTCTGTGCTGGTCAGTATTTTGAACTTACTTGAGATTAGCGATATGAATGATAAGAAAATCATAATTTTATATCCTATTTAAATAGATAAGAAAATTATTTTAAAATACTGCATATTGGAAAGTGTTTTGCTATTGAAAATTAGAGATTTATGCAGGAAGATATGATTTTTAAATAAAAAAATTTGTGGTAGGTAAAATGTTTTACCTCAGATCATTATGTTTAACCTTTGTGTAATTACCGTATTTTTCGGACCATAAGACGCACCGGACCATAAGACGCACCAGTTTTTAGAGAAGGGAAATGAAGAAAAAAAGATTCTGAAACAAATAGTGTCCTAAAATATTTTATGTGCATTAAAACCCAACATCACAGTCATAAACACATGTAATCAACCCTGTAAAGTAAACAGCAGCATTTAGAACCATTTTAGAGCCGGGCAAGCACACAGAGACCACATAGAACCGGGCAAGTAAAAAAACTTTTTTTTTTAAAGTATATGTGTAGGCTATATTTGGACCATAAGACACAGGGACATTTTCCCCCCACTTCTGGGGGAAAAAAAGTGCGTCTTCTGGTCCGAAAAATACGGTAATATCATATTCTTATTTGTTACACTTTCTAAGAAATAGATTTTGGTATTCTTTAGATATTAAAAAGCATTATTGGCTCGCCTACTGAAAGAAAAAGTTTTAAAAGGGATATTATAAATATATAACAAAATCTTATCATTAATCAGTATATCCAAATATTGTTTCATGTTTATTCAAGCATGCACTGAAGAAGTTGGCATATTTTTGGCAAGTTTTGGCAAATTACTTCATCTTTTTCTTAATGTTTAAACCAAACTGACAGTTTGGTCTGTTTGATAGCCTCTATCCACAATTGTCTAATTTTTCAAAATATGAACCAAATTATTTTCTTGCACATAAAGTTAAGCACAAAAAAGGGATTGTCTACCATAAGGATTACTTTGCAACTTGAGAATGTGGGGAAGCATTATAGCTGTGCTCAAGAACATGAATAATTGATGTGAAATGTTCCTGGAGGAATCATGTTAAGGACTTTAGAAATATTTTGTTTTATATTCTATTTTCTCTGGTAAACACAATTTTGTTTCTTTCTGAATTTGAACATTTTTGTTTGTTTGGTTTGAACACTTTTAAATGCTTTCTGTCTTCTATTTCTCTCAATGCCATTATATATTCTAATAATTTGTTCTCTGGTTGATGTGAATTCTGTTTCAATATTTTAAATATTACTTAGGTTCTTGATAATTTTGGTACTTTCTCAGTTTCTAAAAAATCCTGTTACAGTGTTTTTGTTCATTTCTGTAATAACAGAACACTTTAAAATTGACTATTTTCATTAGTAGTCACATATGAATAGAATTCAATTTTTTAACATTGATAAAAATATCCAAATTTTCTAATTCCATCATATTCCTTTCTTTAATATTGTAATAGTAATTCCAAATTCAAAATAATTGTATGTATTGAATGTTTTGTGTAGGGGATATAAAATAAGGCACAGTAATGTGAGGGACTATTTTAGTGCTATATTCCATATTGAGTTATCCCATGAAGCACAAGGGCAACTAGAGCTCCCAAATGACTGGAGTCAGGATTCAGAAAACCATTAGGATGCCTGTTATAATCTGTCATTTTTCTCTGTTTTGTTTTGAGTATCTATCTGTGTGACTTTTTCTTTCTTTGTAGACTGGCTTCTTCTGCTTCTCTATGACCATGATGGAAAAATGGTTACTCAAATACCAAGCTTATGTCAACATTGCTTCATCTACCCTAACAGGCTGTCTATGACCTTCAATTGCAAGTTCTTGATAAATCATTCTTTATAAATTTGGCTTTGACAAAAATTGTGGTAATTATTAATGCTATTCACCAACTATTTCTTTCCACCTTGGAAGCATGTGATAGGATTGCACTTCCTAGCTCCATTGTAGTAGGGAGAAACCATGTGACTTATTCTGGTCAATGACAGTTGTGATGTGTGTCATTTAAATACCAGTAAGAGACTCTCTACAGAGTTTGATGTTCTTCTGCTTTGATGATGAGCAATGTTACATTTAATGGCTACTTGAGTTCCTAAATGAAGATATGCCTCGGCATCCCTCAATGGAACAAGAAATAAACCTTTATTGTTTTAAATTACTGAGATCTTACGGTTGTTTGTTATCTCAGCCCATAGCCAAGCTTGTCTTGACTAATGCATAAATATACCTGGAATTGTATTCGATTTGCAATATTTTCACGTGAATTTGATCTGTCTTTTAAAACTCCTTTCCAGGCCACTGCTTTATTCCTGTTTGCCCTACATTCGCACTATTTTCCTATGCTTGGCTCAGTACCCATTTTCTTCTGTCATTCTGTGTTGCTGTTTTTAAATTATCAGAAAACACATAGACAGGGCATTAAAGTGTGTTGAAATAATCATTGGCTTAGGAGTTAGAAGATATGCATGCATTTTTTTAACTTATTATTCAGCTATGAACTATAACATTTTATAATTTTGAAACTCTGTATATTCATGGGTGTGGGCTACAAGGGGTTAGTGGGGGAGAAGGAGGGGAATCTGTAACACTTTCAACAATAAAGATTTTTTTAAAAAAGTAAGTGAACATATTATACTCTCTTATGCCTCAATTATAGAGTATAAGGAGTAAAGCACTATAGTATACATATTTACTAGTAAGTTATTGCTATCCATTCATCAGTAATTTTTATATAAATTGCTTAGGTGTGTTTTCCTAAGGCATAGCTGGCCATTGTTTTACTTGCTGAGTTTAACTAATGAATATACAAGTGCATAAATTCTTAAACAATGATAATAACATGTGACAAATTAATAATGACCTGTTTTCAATATTTTAATTGCTTTTAAAATTTTGTTTCCTCTGTACTTCTTATATTATGATTCAACATAGTGATTAAAGGAAATGATAATTCTAGTCCCAACTATGGATAATGTCCAGGTAGTGATTTAACTATGCTGCCCATTGGATGCCAACACTAGATCTAAGTTATTCCTGCGTAGTTATGTTTCTGGTTAAACAAAAGGAGTTATTAGCAATGTGCACTGCTGTGAGATTTGGGAGACAGACACAACCTTTCTGTGCCCTTGGAATATTATTCTGTGAGAAACAAAGTCAGAGGTGCTTCTCAGGCTCCATCCTTCAGCTTCTGGTGTTGAGAGGCACAGATGTAGCCTCAGTAATGGTAGCTTCTTATTTTCAGCATCCTGACAATCTCTGGGGTTACAGCATTTTCTCTTGAAATCTGTTTGCCAGTAGAGGACTCTGAGGTGGGAATTCCCTAATGGCTCACTTCTGTCCTGGTCTTTATTTCTGGAGGCCCAGTTCAGAGCTTGCTTCTGTACCTTCTCAAAGCTTCTGTAAGAACCTAGCCTTTATTTAATTTATTCTTGCATAAAATATCTAGAGCAGTGGTAATCAAACTTTAGTGTGCCCGAGAATGACCTGGTAAACTTGGTTAGGCATAGATAACATGGCTTTACTCCAAGTTTCTGATTTATTAGGTATGGAAGTAGGATCCAAGAATATTGATATATAATAAATCCCCAGATTGCTGAACCAGAGACCATACTTTGAGAACCATTGATCTATCGGGTCTAGTAATAATTAATGTCGTTTTTAAACATTCGTTTAAAATCTTGCTTGGCGTTGACTTGTATTGACATAACCTTCAAACACGTGGTATCTACAGAACGAGTGAAGTGCAATTAACAAGTTTTGCTTGAAAAAGTTTGTGTTTGGTTTGGTTTTTGTTGCAAAACTAGGGCTAAGAAGATGGCGGATGAAGAGCATATTCAGCACTGCATGCTTTACGAGTTCCAATTAGGAAGAAAAGCAAGTGAGGCTGCAAAAAGCATCTGTAGTGCTCTTGGTCAAGATGCAGTTAGTGCCAGAAAATGCCAGCATTGGTTTGAGAAATTTTGCGAGGGAAATTTTTCGTTAGATGACAAGAGTGGTCGAGGCCGTGTGTCCAATTTTGATCAAGAAGCTCTTCAAGCTCTTTTGGTGCAAAATCCTCAAATTACCCAACAAGAGCTTGCGACAACTTTAAATTGTTCACAAAAAACAATTTCCAATCAATTGCATGCACTTGGCAAAGTCCAAAAGTTTGGAAAATGGGTTCCTCATGAGTTGACCGACAACAACCGTAATCAAAGAGTCACAATTTGCAGTTCGCTCCTCTCTCTTCAAAACCATTTGCCGTTTTTAGAGCAAATTGTTACCGGAGATGAAAAATGGGTGCTGTATGTTAATTTGAAAAGGCAGCCTCAATGGTTGGACAAAAATGAGGCTCCGCAGCCCATGCCAAAACCTGACTTGCATGCGAAAAAGTGATGTTGTGTGTTTGGTGGAATTTTAAAGGAATTCTTCATTATGAACTTTTACCATCTAACCAAACCATTACAAGTGCAGTGTATAGTGCCCAATTGGAAAGGTTAGCCCAAGCTTTAAGAGAAAAAGAACCCGCACTGATTAATCAGAAGGGCATAATTCTTCACCACGATAACGCACGACCGCATACTGCAAGAATCACTGCTGAAAAACTGCGCCAGTTGGAATGGGAAGTTCTCCCTCAACCTGCATATTCTCCTGATATTGCCCCTTCCGATTACCATTTGTTTCGTTCTTTGCAAAACTTTCTTCTTGGAAAAAAATTTAATAATGAAGAATGCCTCAAAAATGCATTGACCGAATTTTTTGCATCAAAATCATAAGAATTTTACAACAGAGGGATTAAAATGCTTCCTGAGCGTTGGGCACAAGTAGTAGAAAACAATGGCAACTATATTGTTGATTAAATTTTGTTGTATTGTTTAAATAAATTCGATTTAAAAAAGGTATTAGAAAACGACATTAATTATTACTAGACCTAATAGAGTGTTTTGTTTCTTACTCAGCAACTCAATGAGGTAGGCCTTGTCCTCAAATATATCAAATAATTTAGGCCAGTCACAATTGTTTCTCAACATTTCAATATTTGGATTCATAATGAAGTAATAATTCCCCTATGGAGAATATTAATTGTATTTACAATAAAATGTATAATAAGAGGTGTTAGTACAGATTTAATAATTAGCAAAATATGAGAGAATGGCTTAGGTTATATTGAGTATATATATTTTATTCTTTGGAATAAAGCCTGTTTGGGTGATATCATAATAGTATAACATTATCATACAGCAACATATATCTCATATACCTTCCCACCCTCATACCTCATCTGAATATCAGTTCAGAATAGTCAGGTAATACTTTTATCATTATAGAGCTTTTCTGTACATTTCCTTTTGTAAATAGAGGCTTAAACTAAACTACCATTTAAATTTAATTATTATCTTTTCATACTGCATATATAGAGAATCTTATTTTAAATGTTAACTTAGTCATCTATTTTACTTTATTTAGCTCAGTACTTTTTACATAAAATATTTTGAGGCCCAAAAACATAAGCACATGGAGAAAAAGTTGAAGCTAGCATCTAAATATTTTGATACCTTGTCCTTTTTTCTTTCTTTCCCATTACTACTATCAACTTTCTCTATTTGGAGTGTGGGCTTCATGTTATATGTGCATTCAAATAAGCAATGGAAAATTTTGCCATTGAAACAAACAAAAAAATTACATTACTATGAAATACTTTGCCAAAACCATACTGATGTTTAATACTTAAAAATCAACCAGAGATCATTAGCTGCTACCAATTTTTAAGTTTTTTTTTAATGTTGTTTAAAGTATAATTTTATGCTATTTAAAGTTCTTTAATTCTTAGAAATAAATAATATATTTGGATGTCATCCAATATCTCCCTATGAATTAAACTCCCTCACACTATAATCATGTTATTTACTCAAAAATTAGCTTCCTGCCAGAGTGGCTTGTTAAGGATTTGCTAATTTCAACTTTCTTCTCTGAAACTCAATGAACACAGCAGTCTATAACTACTTTCCCCAGTTATCAGATACCAAAATATGTTTTGGACTTTTATTATTTTCTCCAGATTTATTATTTTTCAAAATCACCTTTTTAAACATAATTGAAGCAATTAAAAAAGAGAAACAACTCACCATTAATTGAGTATTCTTGCGGCTCTGCTATTTTTAATTAATGTAGGATAATTTCAAACTCTTCTAACTTGATTTTATATCCAATTAAAATATGTAACAATCAGAAATTTTCTAATCCAGTCTAGCCTCCTGGGCAACTCATTTCTTCTCTGTTGTCAGCGCTAGTTCATGAAAAGCATCCTTCCAAGGCTACTTCTTGATTTACCAGAAACCTAGTAAAATTCTCTCATGGAGTTGTGATATATTTTAAACCTTAGGTTGCAAATTGGACATCTAATCTTATAATTTAGTGCAGTTTGAAGAAAGGAAACAAGTCTTTGAAAAATCATTTTTATTTAGTTTTGATTAGGTGATTGATAATTGTCAAAAGTTTACTGTAACAGTCTCTCTACATTTGCATATGACTATATTTTCTGAAATAAAACATTTTTAAAAACAGGATGTAAAATGACACATAAGTATATGTAGCAAGGTGAGGTGCATAGAGAGGTGTTTAGTACATAACTGAGAAATTTGTAGGATATAAGTGAAAAATAACTATATTTCTTCTGGGATTTATTGTATGCAACTAGACCATGATTAGGAGAAAATGGGTTAAAAAAGAAGTTGATAGGCTAGAGCAAAGATACCAGTAAATTATTTTCATTGATATTTTCTTTGTACATCGTAAATACAAATTTTAAGAGTATTTAATTTTTATGTAAATTTCTTTTCTATAAAGCTTAATTATATAAAATTAGTGAAATATAGTTCTCATTCTTTCTGCCAAACAGCAATTAGTAATGAAGGTCACATTCATGCATTTAAAAATGATGACCAAAGTGGGTTCTGCACACGAGTCTGTACGAGGTGAGAGAGAAATGGAGGACTCGGCGTAGGCCCCACTCACAACCTCAGCCTTGACCCCAGCCTGGATCTCAGCAACTGGGGATGAATAAAAGCCTCAAATAAAATGCAAGACAAATCCGGAGATGAAATTTCATTACTGGTCCCAGTAGAAAAAAACTCCCAACAAAGAAAATGTGGGGGTACAAAACATGCCACAGGAAACAGG